GGGCAGGGGATGTTTGGGGCTGAACTAGACAGGAAGGTAGGGCTCTCTCCGTCTTTTCTCAGCTGCCGTCTCCATTCTTTCTTTCTGACGCGACTTTCTTCGAATTTGGCACACGCACATTCACACACACACATGCACACACACACACCCACAAACACAGACACACACACACCGACAAAACACACACTGACAACCACACACTCCCGACTCACCCCCGTGCGACAGAACACTCTTGAAGGGCTCCACCGCGCGCAGGTCTATGTTGAACTCTGACCCCGACACCGACACCCGCTTCCAGCGCGGCCCGCCGCCCTCAGCGCCTCCCTCAGCGCCGGCGCCACTGCCACCCTCCGCACGCCCTGACGCCGACGCCTCGGCGATGGCCTCCGCTGACAGCCGCTGGGACTGAATGGGCGTGTCGTCTGATGGGGACACACAGAGATGGAGGTACAGTTATAGACTACATAACATATACATGACATATATAAGTATAAAATGGGTGTGTTTTTGTGTTTATTTAACCATTTATACGTATATACACACACATATATATATACACATATATATATACTCACACATATATATACACACAAACACATATATACATACATACATATATATATATATATTTAAATAAAAAATTTTTTTGGAAATGTTTTATGGCGGTCGCCACTGCATAAGGTCATATGAGCCCGCGGGACACACTAAACATTTTCCGTTGGTAGGAAAGTTCGAAATTTGCCCAGGTGGCGGCCGAAGCCTACTTTTACTGATTTTGGACCACCAAGGGATCTTTAATCTGCACAACTTGCACACGGGACCTCCGAGATTTTTCGCCTTTGTCCAAGATGGAGCCAAGGAGTAGCAGTAGAAAGGCTGTAGAAAGAGTCAAGAGCCCAGAGGAGGGGGCAAAGGAGGTGAGGGGGTGGGGGCAGAAAGTGGAGATGAAAGCAGACAACAGAACATTGTTAGAGAGCAGGAAAGGAGATGAAAGGAGACAATTTTAGAGAACCAAAATTTCCATCGCTATCCAGATTCAAACCCGTGACCTATTGAATGAGAGGCGACCACCTTGACCTGTAGGCCATGAGAGCCCCTATATATATATATATATATATATATATATATATATATATATATATATAAAAATAATAGACAGATAATATATATCTCATAATCTCATATATAAAATGGGTCTGTATTTATTTATTTATTAATTAATTTTTAAAAAACCATTTATTAGAATTCATACCAGGGATGTCTGTAAGACAACCCTTTTTCTCCTCGATAATGGGTGTCCGGCCATCTTGGAAATTCCAACCATATTTAATAATTTGTTCCAGAATTGTTTGAGTAAAGAGAAGCACATCGACACAACAATGACCATTCAGTGCAAGGGAAAAAAGCAAGATAGACAGACAGAAACAAAAATGAGGGAAAGAAAAGAAGTAGGACCCCTGTTTGTTTGAATAAAGAGAAACACATCGACACAATAATGGTCATTTAGTGCTGGGGGAAAAGTAAGACAGACAGACAGAAACAACAGAGGGAAAGTAAAGAAGTGGGACCTACCAGTGGCACCCTCCGACCACCCACTAAGCAAGACAGACAGACAGACAGAAACAACAGAGGAAAAGTAAAAAAGTGGGACCTACCAGTGGCACCCTCCAACCACCCGCTTAGAGCAGGGTAAAAAGTAAGAGAGAAAGAAACCCAACAGAGGGAAATAAAAGAAGTAGGACCGTAGTTTGTTGGAGTAAAGAGAAGCACATCGACACAACAACGACCATTCAGTGCGGAGAAGAAGCAAGACAGATAGACAGACACAACAGACGGAAAAGAAAGAAGTATGACCTACCAGTGGCACCCTCCAACCACCCGTGACCTACCAGTGGCCCTCTCCAACCACCCGTGACTTACCAGTGGCACCCTCCAACCACCCTCACCATACAAAAAAAATTACAACACTGTCATGGTTTTTTCTAGTGTTTTAGTAGGTGTTTTACGGCACTTGCAACACAATTAGGTCATCTACGTGCTGAAGATTAGAGGTGTTACAAGAGAGAGAGTAACAAACACAAAAAAGGAAGGAGGAGAGATAAAGACGATAGATGTTTGATAGGAAAGAAGGAGCAGACCACACCAGAGCACCCGCCAACATTCTCAAGATGCACCAAACTGTACACAACACCATGCCAAGGCAGCCAGGAGGGATAGACACAAACAACAACCAACAAACTGGTAGCTTCACTTGGTTAACCAGGAGGGATACACGCAAACAATGACCGATAAACTGGAAGCTTCACTTGGTTAACCAGGAAGGATATACATAAACAACAACCAATAAACTAAAACAATGACCACTAACCAGGTAACTTCACATGGTTAACCAGGAAGAATATTCACAAACAACAACCATAAAACTGGAAGCATCACTTGGTCATCCAGGAAGGATATACACAAACAATGACCAATAAACGAAAACACTGACCAGTAATTTGGTAACTTCACATGGTTGACCAGAAACAATATTCACAAACAACAACCAATAAACTGATAGCTTCACTTGGATAACCAGGAAGAATAAAAACAAACAACAACCAATAAACCGGAAGCTTCATATAGTCAACCAGGAAGGATATACACAAACAATGACCAATAAACAGGTAGCTTCACTGCCCTATCGACAAAGGGTGTTGTCTAAGTCAATTTCGATTGTCTTAGTTTTAGTAAGAGTTTTACAGCACTTGCAACACAACAAGGTCAAAAGTGCAGAGGAATAGATTAGGTGTTACAAGAGAGTAACATGCACAAAAAAGAAGGAGGGGAGATAAGGATGACAGATGTTTGATGGGAAAGAAGGAGCAAACCACGCCAGAGCACCCGCCAACCACCCACAATTTCGATGGTACTTGACGAAACATACTTCAGAAGACCCTACCATTTTGACGCCAGTCGTTAGTTTTAAAAGTTTTTAGTAAAAGTTTTACGGCATTCGCAACATAAGAAAGTTACATTTCCTGAAGATTACGGGTGTCAATTGAGAGTAACAATCAAATAAAAGAAATAGAAATGAAGACGATAATATGATAGATGTTTGATAGGTCGAAAGAAGGAGCAAAACCACACCAGAGCATCCGCCAACCACCCATGACGTGTGTCTAAGTCTAAGCACGCCAGGTTCTCATTGTTCAGCGGTTTGTCAAACTCACATCAAGCAACCATGCACAGTTGACAACTTGGGGAAAACCTAAAAACAGAATCTATCCACATGATAGGTCAAACTGTCTGCACACACATTGTGACACATATACATTCTGGGAGTTATTTTTAAAAAAAAAACAATTATATATATATATATATATATATATATCCAGTATTGTAAAATGTTCAGAGGAGCCCAATCCCCCCCCCCCCCCCATCTTTCCCTCTTTTAAAAAAAAGTCTTAGTAAGAGTATTACGGTACTTGCAACACAATAAGGTCATAAAGAGTGACGAAGATTAGAGGTGTTACAAGAGAGTAACAAACACAAAATAGAAGGAGGAGAGATAAGGACGATAGATGTGTTTGATAGGAAAGAACGAGCAAACCAGATCAGAGCACCCACCAACCATCTTTCCCTCACAACAGCGTGTCGTTTAATATTTCTTCAAAACACTGTTCCCGCCTTATCTATTAAAACATACATACCAGACTACGGCAGATATTATGTGCCATGTTTTAAACTATTTGGTGGAATCGATAACTCAGATTTGTCCAAAAATGAAAAAAAAAAACCCCGTTCAAAGAGGCTTTTTATCATCAAATAAATAATGGTAAAATTTGCCAAGCCTGTATTTTTACTTGTGACTGCCAGGGAATTTTTGTTTTTATTTTACTGTCAAAAGATAAGATATAATAGAACAGAGAAAATAAAAGGCTAGTTGCATTTTGGCTCTACTCTTGAGTAATAATATTTTGCTAGAGCAATGACAATATGAAACTGTCATCTATATATACTAAATTTGTGAAAGTTCGTAACTTTGGTCGCCTAAAATTTCTGAACCACATAACTGTCAAATTTGAAAAAATCAACGGTGGTTCAGAATCATTTAAAGGGTGCACAGTTTTATTAAGGAGTCTGAAGTCAATGTAGTTCAATTTTCACGTTTTCATTATAGTTTCATTTAGATTTAATCTTAAGAAAGTCTGTCTTCTAAGACGCCATTGTAAACAAGTGAGGCTTCTGTTCAGAAGCAGTGCACACTGATTCCACAATGACTTGACGATCGATTCTTTTTTAGTCCGTTCATCGAACGAGTACTAATTAGTTAAAGATAAAAATTCCAGCAAGTTTTCTGCATTCTATACATTCAAGCTATTCAAAGTATACTACCAACAAAAGATCTCTCCAACTGACTTGTGGCTTCGCTCACATGATTATTCCCAAATCCGGTCTAAGGAGTTTAGAGTTTTTCCACAGCATCAGCAGATCCAAGAGGAGCAATACTACAAAACATTTAGTGCATATCGTCGCTGCCGCAAGCAATGAATTTAAGTCCAACTTTTTGACAATTTTCAAATTTTACACACCGTCACAAAGCTTTATCTAAGATGCACCTTTCAACGTCACCAAAATGCAGTTTAATGCTATATGGTCAAGGCTAACACTTTTCTTGCTTTTCACAATTCCTGACAGGAAAAACACCACAAAAACCTTTTTTCCCCGTCTCTAGAGTAAAAAGTACCCCAAATGAACTTAAACACAATGCGTGCAACAACGACGATAATTATTTTCTGATACGAAAACGGACTCCCCTACTCAGACCCTCAAAAATGTACAACTAACATATACCTTTTTTACATACTGGTTGGCAGTCATGAATATTAAAACACTTTGCGGTCACTTGGCGCAATATTGAGACAGTGAAAATTATCCATTCCTGTCACCCGTGCGCCAGGCTCAAGAAGTTCGTTGTTGCAGTCACTTTACTGGCTGGGTGACCAGATGGGTGTGGGGTAGTTTGTACTACCGGCTGTGCAGTGACCGCAAAGTGTTCAGGCATACGGGACAACATCCATGCTATCTACACACCGTGCAAAAACAAAAAAACAAAACAGCCATCTTTATTTACCGACGCCTTGCAGGAGTTTTCTCTCTGTAATAGGATAAACAACGGTCACCTTAGTCGCTCGCCGAGAGTGAAGTCTTTTGTTTTAGTAAGAACTTACAGCATGCATCAGAATACCACAGAGTTTCAATCAGAACTCTGATACCATTGAGTTTCAATCAGAATACTATTGAGTTTCAATCAGAATACCATTGAGTTACAATCAGAATACCACTGAGTTTCAATCAGAGAATACCATTGAGTTTCAATCAGAGTACCATTGAGTTTCAATCAGAGAATACCAATGAGTTCCAATCAGAACTCTGATACCATTGAGTTTCAATCAGAGTACCATTGAGTTTCAATCAGAGAATACCAATGAGTTCCAATCAGAACTCTGATACCATTGAGTTTCAATCAGAGTACCATTGAGTTTCAATCAGAGAATACCAATGAGCTCCAATCAGAACTCTGATACCATTGAGTTTCAATCAGAGTACCATTGAGTTTCAATCAGAGAATACCAATGAGTTCCAATCAGAACTCTGATACCATTGAGTTTCAATCAGAGTACCATTGAGTTTCAATCAGAGAATACCAATGAGTTTCAATCAGAATACCATTGAGTTACAATCAGAATACCACTGAGTTTCAATCAGAATACCATTGAGTTACAATCAGAATATCATTGAGTTTCAATAAGAGAATACCACTGAGTTTCAATCAGAATACCATTGAGTTACAATCAGAATACTGAGTACATATCCAGCTTAACATTCTTATTCATTATTGCATATATTAATTACTGTTCATTTATATTATGCATGTGACCATAAGCCTGTTTGTGAGTGTAAGCATACCACGCGTGTGTGCATGTTTGTGTGCGTGTGTGTCTCTGTGTGCGCATGTTTGTGTGCGTGTGTCTCTGTGTGTGCGTGTGTCTCTGTGTGTGTGTGTGTGTCTCTGAGTGTGCAAACACACACACACACACAACTAGGTCACATGAGCGTTGAAGATTAGAGGTGTTACAAGAGAGTAACAAACATAAAAGAGAAAGAAGGAGGAGAGATACGGAGGATAGATGTTTGATAGGATAGAAGGAGCAAACCACACCACAGCACCCGCCAACCACCCGCAGACCAATGTTATAGTCAGTTGGTTTTTACACATCCATCGACACAATTTAGACAACTCAGGAGGCGGGCTTCAAACCTTACCTGTCGCGACCACACCGAACTGAAAGGGACACAAAATATCCCAACACAAGGACCATGACCCTTGATAAAAATCCCCCCCCCCCTCCCCCGAAATTACAATAAAAGTTTTAGTAAGAGTTTTACGGCATTTGCATCACAATAAGGTCATATAAGTGCAGAAGATTAGAGGTGTTACTAGAGAGTAACAAATACAAAAAAGGAGGGGAGATAAGGACGATAGATGTTTGGTAGGACAGAAGGAGCAAACCACACCAGAGCACCCGCCAACCACCCACACTCCAAAATTGAACCCATGTCTCCTGTGTGGGAAAGCAAAGCACTTAATCACTACACCAAGGACACTGGTCCGGTGAGTTGTTTTTTAGTTTGGTTTTAGTACAGGTTTTACAGCTCTCGCAACTGTATAAGGTCGTATGAGCGCCAAGGGTGGATGTCAACAGAGAGGTCCAAATGGGGAATCAGACTTACTCTGCTCACCTCTCTAGCCTCAAAAGCACAAAGTCTGCTTCGACCATCAAGGCACCCCGGAAATAGCGGGTCACAAGAGTGACAAACATACAAAAGAAGTAGAGGAAAAATGACGATAAAAAGAATGAGGAAAGAAAAAGCAGCAGTTCCCCCTATGTTGTTCTGGCACAGTATGAGCATGACTTTGATAAATCAGCCCATTTGCAATTCTACTGTGCAATAAGAACACGTTAATATCCCCCCTTTGGGAATGGCCTAAAGACAACTTCAGTCAGTAGCATTGCCCTGGGGGGGTAAAATTTCTCCCCACTCGGAAATCGAACCCACGTCTACTGTGTGCGACAGCAAAGCACTTAACCATTATACCACAGACACAGGTCCAGTGAGTTGTGGACAAGGAAAATATGAGAAGTGAGACGCAATAATTGTGTTGTGTTGGTGTGCTTATATGTGACTGGGCTCCTGGAATTCGTTTGTTTGAGTAAAGAGAAGCACATTGACACAATAACGGTCATTTAGTGCTGAGGAAATGGAAGACAGACAGACAAACAGACAGACAGAAGAAACCGAGGGAAAGTAAAGAAGTAAAACCTACCACTGGTGCCCTCCAACTACCCGCTTAACACTTTCGAGTGACCAAAAACCAAACCCGGTTATTTATTTCGTTTTAGGAAAAGTTTTACGGCACTTTCAGCACAATAAAGTCTTACTATGACCTGTAAGTTCCGAACATTAAAAAGTGTTACAAGCGAGTAAAAGACACAAAAAAGAAGTAGGAGAGATAAGGACAATTAATGTTTGATAGGAGAGAAGGAGAAAACCACATCAGAGCACTTGCCAACCACCCACCGACAGAAATCAAGTGGGGAGAAGGGGGGGTGGGGGGGTGGGGCGGGAGAAGAGCGAGGCAGGCAGGTGAAAAAGATATAAAAGAAGTTGCACATTCTAGTGACACCCTACAACCACCCACCCAACACCTTGAAAAGTTTTTTGTTCAAAAAAGGAACGGCTGTAACACTTGATGGAAAAAAACCCAACCCCGAACAACCCCCGCCCCCCCCCCCTCCCCCCAAACAAATCCCACGAGACGCGGAAGCTAACTTACTCTCCCACTCCAGGTCACCAATCTCGCTGTCATTGTCGACATCTTCATCGTCATCATCATCCACATTATCCTCATAGTCATCGTCATCATCATCATCATCGTTGTCAATTCCGAAACAGGAGTCGGGCACAATTTTCTTTCTCAGGGAATCTTGAGTGCTTGAATCTTCAATACAGAAAATACAATTTTAAAACTTTGCAACAAAACTGAAACGAATGTTACTTTCACATAGACACAGTTCAGTGTTCAGTCTAGACCACTGTGTTTTGAACTTAGACAAAAAAAAGGGAATCTCAGGGAATCTTGAGCGCTTGAATCTTCAATACAGAAAATACAATTTTAAAACTTTGCAACAAAACTGAGACGAATGTTACTTTCACATAGACACAGTTCAGTGTTCAGTCTAGACCACTGTGTTTTGAACTTAGAAAAAAAAAAGGGAATCTCAGGGAATCTTGAGTGCTTGAATCTTCAATACAGAAAATACAATTTTAAAAATTTGCAACAAAACTGAGACGAATGTTACTTTCACATAGACACAGTTCAGTGTTCAGTCTAGACCAATGTGTTTTGAACTTAGAAAAAAAAAAGGGGGGTGGGGTGTGGATGAGACATAAATATGTACACACATAAATACATGCATAAATACATACATAAATACACAATATTACACAAATACAGAACAGTTTACGTTATTGGCTGCGACTGTGATTGGGGCCACATTCACTAACTGATTTTGGACCACTAACTGATTTTGGACCAATAACCAATTTTGGACCACTAACTGATTTGGGACCAATAACCAATTTTGGAACACTAACCAATTTTGGAACACTAACCAATTTTGGAACACTAGATCCAACTGATTTTGGAACACTAACCAATTTTGGACAACTAGATCTAACTGGTTTTGGACCACTAACCAATTTTGGACCATGACCACTTTCACTTACCCATCTGGGCCATATCAGGCCGCCCGGCCACATCCGTGATGGAGTCGTCTTGCCACTCATCTTGAAACTCTGCACCCTGTGTAGTGGGCGACAATAAAAAAAATAAAAACCATCAAAATGAGTCAGTTTAAGATGATAGGACGATACTTTACTAGAACATCTAATCTGACACATTTCAGACTATCTCCAATGAGGCGGAGTATATGTGTGTGCACCCAGAGAAAGGTACCAGAAGTCACCCCAGACTGTTTCGAGCTACAGGCTGATAATGACGAAAATCACTTTTTTGACCAAAATGTGTTTCCATAAAAAAATGAAAGATCCAACATTGTACAAGATCCAAGATCTTACAATGTACTCAAAATGTGTTATTTTGAATTATTTGGAGGGAAGGGTATAATAAAAACAAACAATGAAAACTGCTTTTAAAAGGTGTTAAAATCTTTTGTTGAAGTACGTTTTCTCTTCCCTGCTATGTTTTACCATTGAATTCCATTCATATTGATGTCAACTTAATGCCAAATTGGAAATGAATTTTCCACGAACAAGTACATTTCAAAAATCGTCTTTTTTTAGTTCGTACGTCTTCTCACGTTTGTATTATAACTTAAAAGCTCATTTTCTCACAATTATATTTTTATGCCCTACCTCGCAAAATATGCAATATCTCAAAAACTACACTTGAGATATATATATATATATATATATATATATATATATATATATATATATATATATATATATATATATATATATATATAAAAAAATAAAAAACCACTGTGTTCAGCATTGAATTTCGTATACGGTACAACGCTTAACTCAAAATGGTCAAAATCCGACTTTTGGTACCTTTCTTGAAGCACATACACATATTATGCTCAACTGTTATAAGAACAAGAACTTTTTGGGGTTCTTTTTTTATAGTAGAGGGTTTTACGGCGCTCGCAACTGCATAAAGTCATATGAGCGCGGAGGGGTGGGTGGCAACAGAGAAGTCCTTACAGGGAATCAGACTTAGACTGCTCACCTCTCTAGCTTCAACAGCACAAGGTCTGCTTCGACTATCAAGGCACCCCGGAAATAGCGGGTCACAAGAGAGTGACAAACATACAAAAGAAGTTGAGGGAAAAATGACAATAGTAAGGATTAGGAAAGAAAAAGCAGCAGTTTCCTGTTGTAGATCAGGCACAGTTATGAGCGTGACATGATGAATCAGCTCATTTACAATTCTACTGTGCTTGAAAGAGAAATGTCCCCCCCTTTGGGTATGGCCTAAAGACACTTCAGTCTGTGGCACTGCCCCGGGGGGTAGTACCTTTCTTTAAATACACTCACATATGCTCAACAGTCATAAACAAGAGTTTGAGTTATTAAAGCAAAATAGAAATATCAATGTAATGCGCACTGAGCAGTTTTTAGAAAATGGAAATGTGCAGCATAAAAGCTATTTATCATTATTATTATTATTATTTTTATTATTATTATTATTATCATAAAGAAGGAGGAAAGATAAGGACGATTGATGTTTTCATAGGAAAGAAGGAGTAGACCACACCAAAGCAGCGGCCAACCACCCACTCTTTTAATTGCTCTATTTAAAAAATAAAAGAGCTTTTTCATTTAAATATACCCATGGGTGGTTGGCGGGTGCTCTCGTGTGGTTCGCTCCTTCTTTCAATTCTTTGCAAACATCTATAGTCCTCATCCCCCCCCCCCCTCCTTATCTTATTATGATAAATCTCAAGTAACACCTCTTATCTTCGGTACTTATGTGACCTAATTGTAACACAAATGCCTTAAAACTCTAACAAAAACTAAAACAAAATCAAACACAAAACAAAAAATCCAACAACCCCCCCCCCCCCCAAAAAAAAAGGAAAAAACATCAGTATATAAAAAGCTACATTCAGTACATTCAGTATTCAGCTTGGGATGCTTCAAATTTTCTCTTTCAACACAGCATTTCCAGCATGCCCAATACATATTATAAAACGTGCGTTGGATAAACGGTTTTGCGTCTATTAATTGCAAATGTTTAATTGTTAGTGGGTTAAGCCACGAGCCACATCTAGTCATGAAACCGCGCGGGGGGTGGGGGGGGGGGGGGGGCGGTTGTGCTGAGCTGAAGCAGGTACACAGAGCAATCACAATCAAGATGGAAATATCGGTACAAAGATGCAGAGAAAAAAACAAACCAACCAAACTTGAAAACCAGACGACATAGCCCAAACAGAACATGAGAAGTGACTTTCAGTTTTAGTTTGGGAAAATTATGGAAATATAAATCTGAAAATTATGGAAATATAAATTAGAAAATTATGGAGTCATAAATATAAAAATAAAATTTAAACATAACAACAAAACCTTGAGAACCAACCAACATAATCTTAAAAAAAAAACGAGGAGTGACTTCAGTTTTAGTTTGGGGAAAGTCTTCAGTTTTTGTAACAGTTTTACAGCACTTGCAACACAATTCGGTCATAATATAAGTGCCAAAGATTATAGAGGTGTTACAAGAGAGTTTTTTAGTTTTAGTAGAGGTTTTACGGTGCTCGCAACTGCATAAGGTCTTATGAGCGCCAGAAGATCAGAGGTGTTACAAGAGAGTAACAAACATAAAAAAGAAGAAGGGGAGATAAGGACGATAGATGTTTGACAGGAAAGAAGAAGCCAACCACACCAGAGCACCCGCCAACCACCCACTACAGGAGAGTAGCAAACACAAAACAGAAGGAGGAGAGATAAAGACAATAGATGTTTGATAGAGGAAAGAAGGAGCAAATCACACCAAAGCATCCGCCAACCACCCATGGAGTGATTTCCCGTTAAGTTGGGGGAAAAGAAGAGCAGAGTGCTGTCAACACATATTATTTGTCTGTCCCTAGCCACCTCCTTTATTTATGACTACAGCTAATTTAAAAAAAAAAACTAGAAAAAAAAGGAATAACCAAAAGGTGCACACATATAATGATATATAATACATAGAGGAATCACAGTCGAACCTGCCACAATGACCACCTGTCCAAGAGACAATCCCCTGTACAATTGACCACTCCACACTCACCCACTGGAATTTTTAAATATATATGTACGTGAGGCATCGTGGTGAAATCGGGCGCTCTTCAACATAAAGGAATCGAAGAAACTGGCATTTTTTGTCTTCTCATTGATCCATCTTTCTTGAATTTTTTTTTTAAGGCTCAACACCTTTTATGTCTATTCAAAACACACTGAGGTGTAGACATTACTGAGAAAAATGGGTTACTGGCACAAAAAATGTAAATTCACAGTTTCAAAAGACTCTCAAGCTTTGCAAGTAGCCAACTTCGGAGGCCATTTTCTTGCTAACTTTCGCTCTGAAACCAGGTGACCCCCACCTCCTTCAATTCCAAATATCTTGACTTCTATTCAAGAAAGATAAGCAAGCGACTTCTATTCAAGAAAGATAACTAATTGACTTCTATTTAAGAAAGATAAGTAATTGACTTTTATTCAAGAAAGATAACTAATTGACTTCTATTTAAGAAAAATAAGTAATTGACTTCTATTTAAGAAAAATAAGTAATTGACTTCTATTTAAGAAAAATAGGTAATTGACTTCTATTTAAGAAAGATAAGTGATTGACTTCTATTTAAGAAAAACAAGTAATTGACTTCTATTTAAGAAAGATAACTAATTGACTTCTATTTAAGAAAAATAAGTAATTGACTTCTATTCAAGAAAGATAAGTAATTGACTTTTATTCAAGAAAGATAACTAATTGACTTCTATTTAAGAAAAATAAGTAATTGACTTCTATTCAAGAAAGATAAGTAATTTTCTCATCGAAAGCAAGACCAATGGACAAGCTTTAAGAAGACACCAATAACCCCATATGCCCAAAAACTGACGAGCGCCCGATTCCACTGTGTCCTGCCACTTAAACAGTACATGTAAAACACGAATTGGTCCAACACAGAAGACTCGAAACCATACATCCGTCAAACTGTGCCCGTGACCCAGTTTTTCTTCTCTCCTTTATCTTTGCCAGATATCCCTCGAACTACGGATCCCTCGGACTACCAAGGCGGGTCCTGACGAGTTTGAGCTCTCCGAGTTATAATATATATGTGAGGCAGCGTGGTGAAATCAGGCGCTGGTCAAAAATAAGGAAATCAAAGAAAAAGGCAATTTTCTTCCCATATAGCAATTTTTGTCGTCAAAATAATGAAATCGATAATATCGCCATTTTCCCTCTAGTTTGACAATTTAAAAATAATCTTTGTTTTTTTGGCTCAACACCTTTTATGTTCATTCAAAAGCCTATTTCTGTGCGGATTTACTGAAAAACGTTGATTAAAGGCACAAACAATGTAAACTTACAGAAGCTTTGGAAGACACTAAACTTCGGCAACCATTTTCTCTCTTATTTTACCTCTGAAAACAAGTGACCCCCATCTCCTTCTATCCAAAATATCTCAACTTCTATTAAAGATAGATGGATAACTTTTTCATTGAGAGCAAAACAAATGAACAAGCTTAAAGATGATACCAAAAACTTCAAATGTCCCAAAAATTGACGAGCCCCTGAATGCCACTGCACCATGTCACATCATAAAGACACTGTCCAAGAAAACCATCAGTGTAAAATGACAACTTTTCTCCTTGACAAAAGGTGGCCATCTTAAACAGGTTCCACTGTATATTCAGTGAAAAGTGTACGCTACATGGTAAAAAGGGAGCGGGGGGAAAGGGGGGTGGGGGTGAAAGAGGAATCTTTAAAAAAAAGCAATGTGCTCACAGAACCATAGGATTGAGTGCAGGAATATATGGGGAAAGCTAGCGAGTGTTTTTGTTTTTGTGTTTTGGAGGAGGGGGGGGGGGAGGTTTTAGTTTAGTTTTAGTAGAGGTTTTACGGCGCTCGCAACCGCATAAGGTCATATGAGAGCCAGAAGATTAGAGGTGTTACAAGAGAGTAAAAAACATAAAAAAAGAAGAAGGGGAGATATGGACGATAAATGTTTGATAGGACTGAAGAAGCAGGCCACACCAGAGCACCCACCAACCATCTACTATAGACAGTTTGATGAAACTTGGTGTTGCAAGGTAGGAGAGAGAAGACAGACACATGTAGGGGAGGTTTTGGGTTTAGACAGTGAACGATCTTGTCAGTTTGATAGTGTTTGAGCGCGTGAAATCCACAGCTTGCACTGTATGCTTCCGTGGAAGCCGAGAATGTTTCTGAGTGCTCCCAGAGGGTCTGCTGGGGTAATAATGGTTGTAAAGCGCATAGAGCATGCTCCTGAGCATGGATGACCTGACCATCAATGATTTATTTATAGAGGCACCAGCCATCCATGTCAAGGTGCTGTTTTAGCCAAGAAATGTCCAATGACCATCAATGATTTATTTATAGAGGCACCAGCCATCCATGTCAAGGTGCTGTTTTAGCCTACTCTTGAGCATGGATATGCGCTATATAAAGGCAATTATTATTATTATTATTATTATTATTATTGGCCCTCTATACCTCTGGGTTACACACAGAAATTCCCCCCTGTGTGGGATCTGTCCTTATTTTGG